GATAATGATTGATAACTCTATTTTAGGAGGACTACATCAATCTTCATCAAGTTGTATCTGATTTTGTTAAAGCCAGAAGAACTTATGCTAATTTATAGTCATTTTTTTCCTCAAAACTTATATTTATTTATGATAAATCATTTTGGTAAATTCGGTCATTTATCCGCATTGTAATATTATTTTTTTACTCATATATTAAAGCGACATATGCGCTATTTTGTTTTTTGACCAATCAGAAGCGGTGATTTTGTAGCTAAGCCAATCACTAATAGTGTTCACAGCTCACCGTCGAAATTTGAGCCTTCAAATCCATGTATGTCCATATTTATCCGTTTTAGAAAATTAAAAAGACGAGTTGTCTTTTCTTGAGACACTAGTACAATATACAGAAAATACATCTATAGAAATAGGAAAAGACCCTGTTGTAGTTGAGCCACTGTAATTAATACAATGAAATTTGAAAGTTCGATTTTATTTTAAAATCAATATTAGCTTTTTATACTCTCCTAAAAGAAGATCTATTTGACTTACGTCGAGATGGTAGAGCCGCAGTGAAAGTTTGAGTTTGAAAGAATAAACCCCAAAAATTCCATAGAGTTATATTTCTGATTCAGAGCTTCTCCAGGATTTTCCAAAAAGTGCATAAAAGTGCATTGCGAGCCCTTTGATTTTGGTCAGAAAATGGATAGTTGTATATAATTGACATTGGAAAATCAGCTGATAACACGTTATATTGATTTTTTGCCAAATATAGATGAATAATCAATGTCAATTATCAACCAATGAGGCGGTAAACCAATGAAAACGTTCTATAAATTACTTATAACATGATTGACAGGTTTTACAGATATGAGAGTGGCTTTCTTGTTTTAATCATTTGCTTTATTTTGCCATTGTTGTTTGTTACATTATTCTTTTGTTATAAATATTTAAGTAACTAAATAGGCCTTTTTTTCTCTATTTTTTGACGATGTGGGTAAAATTTGTCTTAAAAGATGGACAATGTGGGAGATGATATTAAACTTGTCGCTCTGATTCAGTGCACAGAGACTTGAAAAATTAAAACAAAATTAGAAGACATAATGGATGCTCATAATAATATTTATATTTTTATCAACGCAAAAACATTCCAAGACTAACAGTACTATTTTGAGGCTGTTATTGCAACTCTCATAAGAATAATAGAAAAAAATCAAAAGATTTTATACTTCGCTCAGACAATAATAGATAATGATAATGCGATTCCAATTTTGTTTTGTTTGTTGTACCACGTGCTGAGGGTGGGGCTAATATGTCAGTATCGATATGAAGGGTGTGGCTTGTGTCAGTATGATCTGTGAATACAACTCATACCATTGCCCCCTCCCTTTAAATTTGTGCACGTGCAAACTTCGCTTTAAACTAGGTGTGTGTTCATACCACGAAAAGAATTGTTCAATGTCATATAATCTGTAACATTTGAAAGTTGTACGAGTTTATTTACTTAAGAAACCTACTAAAGGAATATAAGACAATTATTTTTGAGTATTAGTACTTGTGTTGGTTTATTTAACTAAATTCAAGTGTTTACAAGACCAAGTTTAAGGTAAGGATTGTTTTCAATCTACAAATCTTTCAGTAAAATACTTTTTGTTAATTTTTGCAATTTACATTTCGTATTTTGGTGAAGTTAGCATACGATAATATAAGTCAGCATACAATAATATAAGTCAAATCGACCTAATGTAAAACACAGAATTTAGCTTCTAAGTTTAAACACAGTATTTCACAGTAGTCCACCCGCCAAATAAAATATTGTCTTAGTACTTTACTCGTCATACAGTCCCCCCTTTAACAATTTACACACTAAAACNNCCATCCCCCTCCCNCTTTTTTAACAAAAACGTATATACCATCGGGGTGCAAACCACTGGGGCCACCACTGCAAGTTCGGGGGTATTTTGTTTAAGCCCACAATGTTATTAACCAGCCAATCAACAGGCTTAAATAATGTAGCCATTTTTACACTTTGTTTTGTAAATATGAACACACACACGAAACTAATGAATAAGAATATAAAATCACTACGAACAATGTTATTTTGATTGGTTTAAATTCATTGCTTCACTATAGAAAATAAAATAAGTAGTTTTCTTCAATAATATTTTATTATCATACACAATGTTTGAGAGCAATTTATTTAAAAAATACAAAGTGAGTGAGAAATTCGTACAGACGTTAAAGAGTAATTACAAGGAGCGTTTTTCCTTATTGTAAGTTCATAACATGCTACAATAAATTGGGTCTTGTTTCTTAAAGAGATTGTAAAGAGATGTTCTAGATTTGTTATTAGGTATATCGGGGACCATGATAGCACCATTTTGCACCATTACAATTTTCAGTCAGACGTCTGTGGTTCCCGTAGTTCCACAAAAATAAGTGTTTAATGACGTCACTATTCACTATTCTTCTTTATCACATAAGGCCTTTTGCGATTGGTGACGTCATCAAACACTTAGCTATAGTTGGATTGCAGGAACCATGGACGTCTGATTGAAAATTGGAATGGTGCAAAATGGTGCTATCAGTGTCTCCAATACAAATTAAAAAAATTAGAAAAACTCTTTACAATCCCTTTAAAATTATCAAAGTTTTTTCTTTTTCTTAATATAAGCATGCAAATGAAACCGGCATATTTAAAAAAAAATTGAGATTTAAAATTTGAATAATTCCAATAAAACTAAATTTGGGTCCATTCAAGCATACAAGACACAACGAACACTGTATGTTACTAGTTAGTAACCTAATAAAATCTAGCAACTAAAATTGTAACAAAACCAATAGGATTTTACTTCAGACAACTTCTGATCATTGGCATGTGCTCATTGCACAGCTTGTCTCGAGTAGAAAGATAAAGAAAATAGGTAAACTCGCTACAATTTGGGGGATCCATTTCAAGGTTAATCAATCAGTGGCTCAACTACCGTAGGGACCCCCCAAAAAAAACCACACAATTAAAAAAAGAAGTATCAATTAAGCACCTAAAAGGTTAAATAGCATCAACCTCAGACTGAAAATGTTTAGATCATTCATGATTAACAGGCATTAAATTGACTTGCAGGAGAGAAAGGGGGAAGGGGCCCAAATCCACTTAAATCAACTGGCCCTCACTCATCTATTATAGTTGAGCCACTGTTATCAATGGAAACATCCTATATAAAATCCAGGCCATCAATAGAAGCTGAAATATTACATAATAATAAAAAAAATCACAGCTAAAAGCATAAATGGAATGAAATAATGATACTTATTATATGATTTCAGTGTAATAATCTGCTTTAAACTAATGAATTATTAGCTTAATCATAAGAATGGTTAAAAGAGATAGTAAAGAGGTTTTCTAAATTTTTATGTATATCGATTTGCACCATTCCAATTTTCAGATTGGATTGGATTCCAAATCCAAGCTTAGTTTAAATGGATGTCTGACTGTAAACTGGAATTGTGCATATTGCTACAGTGTACCCGATATACATAAAAAGTTTAGAAATCTCTTTACAATCCCTTTTAGAATTCTTTATGTTAAAAGTAAATTATCTTATGATTATGCAGCCAAAATGATATTTTGCTAAGCTAGAGTTAAAAAACATTGAGTTTGGCTGGGTATATCAATTGTCAGATATAAATATAACAAATGCAATATAAAAATATTTATAACAAAGCCACACATTCAATAATATATACACATATATAGCACATAAGTTCATAACCTTTATATAAACAAACACATAAACTCAAATATCTGAAAAATATCAGAGAACATCAAAATGATAATTGATATTTCTTTCAATGACAGCTGATAATTGCTATTTATTTCAATGACAGCTGACAATTTATATTTATTCAAATGACAGCTAATAATTGGTACTTATTTCAATGACAGCTGATAATTGGTATTTATTTCAATGACGGCTGACAATTTATATTTATTTCAATGACAGCTGATAATTGGTATTTATTTCAATGACGGCTGACAATTTATATTTATTTCAATGACAGATGACAATTTATATTTATTTCAATGACAGCTGATGATTGATATTTATTTCAATGACAGCTGCTAATTGATATTTCTTTCAATGGCAGCTGTACGGTAAAGTTGCAGCTAACTAGAAGCAGCTATTGAATATTTGAATATTAGAAGATATAAATTCATATCACAAATTATAAGGCTGGTTAAAATCTATTTCACTATTTACATTTGTAGTCAAACATGGTGAGTCAAAACTAAATAAACCTGAAGTCTGTCAACAATATTTTGTAAATATCTGATTTTCAAAGATATTTTAGTCAGTCTGACATCCTTTGATCTTGCAGACTGATATTTTTATTAACACTATTTATTAATTTCAACCCTGTGCCAGTGCCTTCTGTGAATAGCAACCACCTTCTACTACCTTAATCATTGAATTTAATTGGTCAAGGACCTACTGTTACTCCAAAGAGATTGCAAAGAGGTTTTCTAAACTTTTTATGTGTATCGGTGACATTGATAGCTTCAATTTGCACCATTCCAATTTTCATGCAGTTCCCCTCTATTGACATCATAAAAGGCGTTAGTTTTAGTGGAATTGCAAGAACCACAGACGTTGGAATGAAAATTGGAATGGGGCAAGTTGAAGTTATCAGTGTCCGTGATACACATAAAAAATTTAGAAAACCTCTTTGCAATCCCTTTAAGTAACATGAATATCAACATCCTGAATCAAATGTTTAATACTGACTGGCTTTTCCACCCTTGTGAAATCAAGGTGATTTTCACCAGTAGAATGTAACCTATTGGTAACCCAGTTTGACCTTTTTAACACTAAGAAAAACTAATTATACCTTAAAATATCATGAAGTTAATTTAACACTATGCCTAGATGTTTCTCAGATTAGTTGACAGACTATAAGTTATTCTATAATATCATATGCAATACTATACAATTTGAGCAATAAACTTTAGATTATATCTACTTCAAACCCATTGGCTGCTTAATTTAATAAAAAAAATTTGACAAGATATTTCTACAAAATCCAACAAACCAAAATCAATTATCATGCTGTCAATGTTATGCTAATATTCTTATATGTTGTCATTTTTAAAATTTCATGCTATATTTAGCATTATGCTATCATGAAATATGTTAGCATTACAAAGACAGATTTTATTGCAATTTTATTAAAACGAAACATATTTCATATATAACATTGCATGTTTGTTGTTTTATGCTATGCATAATGTATAATGCTATACTATTATAACATAATATAATGTATTATGCTATGCCGGTATTTTGCAATATACTATAATAACATGGTATGAAGCATTATGCTATGCAAGTTTTATGCAATATGTTATGCAAGTATTTTGCAATTTGCTGGACTATATGACATAATGCAGTATGCTATGCTATCATATCATAATCCAGTATGCTATGCTATTATAACATAATCCAGTATGTTATGCTATTTTAACATGATCCAGTATTCTATGCTATTTTAACATGATGCATTATGCTATGCTATTATAATATCCAATCAGTAGAGATATAAATACTGATTATATTAGGAGGTAGTTTATATTACATTGCATATAAAAAGGATGTGGTTGATCTTTCCAAAAACATAAGGTATGCTTAATCTTTCTAAGACACCTGGTATTCTTAATCTTTCCATAACACCTGGTTTGCCCACTCTTTCCAAAATACTAGGTGCAATCCTCCTATCATAGTACCAATAATCTTTCCAAAAGTACCTAGCACCTATTGCATCTCCAAACCTGAGAGCATTGATTTTCTTTGAATAACGGTTTTCAAAGGATTACATTTTTTAACACTACATGAAAGCAAGCACAATAAATTTTGAATGTAAGAACCAAAACCATTTGATAGGTCTTGGCTGAAAGTCCAACATAGCATCTAACAGTAGATTAAATATGGCAAGATAGAGACTTAAATGCAGTTTTTGGTTTCAACTTGGTATAGAAAGGGCTTAAAGGGATTGTGAAGAGGTTTTCTTAACTTTTTATGTGTAGCTTAGACACTGATATCATCAATTTGCACCATTGCAATTTTCATCCTGATGTCTGTGGCTCTTGCAATTCCACTAGAAATAAGCATTCTATTATGTCACTATTACAGACTTTTGCTAGAGTGACATCCTGAAATGCATAGTTTGAGTAGAATAGCAAGAAAATTGTCTCTTATACAGATAAATTTTTTTAGAAAAACTTTATACAATCCCTTTAAGGGGTCAAAAAGAATTTACTGAGCCCACCTGTTCGAAAAAATGTTGTAATGCATTAAATTTCTTCTTAGTTAGCTGAAAAGATCTGAAGATGTGTATATAATCCTTCAAAAGAGTTCCAAAGTAAGAACTGCAGCAATAAGCAGTTATAAATAAGTCATTCAAGATATTTCTAGAGGTGAGCTCTTTAAATAAGAAGTTAAAATTAGTTAAACATACTACAATAACAGTTATACTTTTGTTAGCACTTTTTGATTTTTGATATGATAAAAATGACACTAATTAAAACCAAAATAGGCAGAAACTTTGAACATTTCTACTGTATGAATAGGTTACCTAACAATTAAAATTTTGAATTATCTTATCTTAGATACAGTGAACATTTTCTCCTTTAAATTGAAGAGTTACATCAGCAGCATTATGAGCAATGAAAGGCATGGATCAAATTTAACAATACATCTAATATAGCTTAAGTTAAACTTCTGAATTACCATTATTATAATGATTAGCACTAACAATACGACTGCTGCCATGGCCTGTTGCCACGGTGATAGTGTTTGTGGGTGAAGGTGGCGGTGAGGTTGACTTTCGGCGCCGACGAACGAAAAAAATTATCACGATCAGACAAATTAACAATAACACAGCAATTGCTATCACAATAGGTAAAAGAGGGATCTCAGTTTTTGTTGTGTTGTGACCAACCTCGAAAATATTTTTTTCTACATCATAGTCCATATTAATGCGTGCTAAGTTAGTTCCTCTTCCACGTTCACCAATGCCGGCTGCATCATTTTTAGCACGCTTGTTTCTCACTACAAGACTAAATTCACTTTCAATAGTGTCTTGTATGTCCAAAGATGATGTCATTACATGATGTTGTTGACCAGCACTCCTGATGCCTCTCTGCGTATTGGCTTGTGAACGTACTGTGTATATAGCATGTAAGAACCATTGACGACCAGCATCAACCTAAAATTTAGAAAATTGGGATATTGTGATAAGTCCACATGTTGTTCATAATATGCTTCTCGAAAATTTTCTTCCAGCAAAAACATTTAAGCACATCAAAGAATAATGCCAAGCAGCCTGCTTTGTTCCAGTTAGTTTAAGATTAAAATGAACACTTCCTTTGAAGGGTTTGTAATGGTTTCTATTACTATTTAGATAAACCAAAATGAAATAGACTGATCTTGTTTAGCTTTCAAGCATTCTTGAATGTTAACAGATATCTTTGATACAATGTTTTTTATGTTTTTTGGAATCATTAGGCTTATTTAGTTGAAACAGTATATGATTCCTGCATACAAGAACAACAGGGAACTATCTATAAGTTTGGTATTTCTAACTGTAAAACTAAAAGGATCTTTTGAAGAACATGGATTTTAGAAGACTTTGCAAAAATTCTCAATCAATATAAGTTCTCTGCTTGAAATTTTGGTTGTAAATCAAGTATGTATTGCTCTTTTTTGTCTACCATTTGATTTGCATTACTTAAGGTATTCTAGTACTAGTGGGATTTGACATATGTATCAAATAATTTCAAGGTTTCCTCTTTGATGTGTAAATCAAGCATCTGTTGCCAACTTTCTACCAATAGAGTTACCTACCTTGAACATTGGTGTACAGTCAATATGAAAACCGTCTGCTCCTGGCTGTGTTACTAACTTAATAGCATCTGGATCTTCATTGGCTAATCTAGCATTAAATGGTATATCACGGAATGACTTTACAATTGAATATGGTGCATTTTTATCCTGCAATGAAAAAGAGTGTTTCAAAAGCTCTGACCAAAAGTCAATGATTTTACTAAAGAAGTAACTTTCAACAATACTAGTTTGTTGTTTGGTAGCTCTGGGTTAAGTACTCAAAGCAAACTAGGAAAGTATTTAAGTTTTGAGAGGCGCCATAACGTAAAACTACTCATGATTTATATAGACTATTGGGATAAAGTCATCTAATATTTGCTTCAATAATGGATAAATCCTTATTACATTTCAGAATGAAAAACATAGTTTGTACACAATTAAAATCAAATTCATAAAAAACTAACCATAATTTTAAAAGTATATTGTAAATTAGGAGAGTCTGCGAGGCAGCCATATTCCTGATTGTCTGGGTTATATTTTGGTATGTAGCCATCTTTACCCGAACATAAAAACACCTTTTCTATGGATAAACCGAAGGAATCCCCTAGATTCTGTACTGGATCCACATTAACTCTACCATACAATCTATCACCTGAAATATTATAATACATTATATTAAAAGGACATTTTTGGGAGGTTGATTTTGGTCTTGAATGTATGTAATAAGTCACTTAATTCCTTCTAAAATATCTCAAATTAAGAATTTCTTTTCCTATTTCTATAGATGCCTTTTCTTTATATGGCAGTGTCTCAAGAAAAGACGACTCGTGTTTGTAACTTTCAAGCGCGAATAATTCTGGACACTCATGGATTTGAAGGCTCAAATTTCCACGGTGAGCTGTGAATACTATTACTGATTGGCTAAGCTAAAAAATTCTCGTTTGTGGGACTGAGGTATGATTGGTCAAACGAAGTGCATTTACAATTCAATATTTTCAGTTGAAACCTTCAGAATAAGTATTTTGTGTTCAAATTGATAATATATTTTGCTTAAATTTAGTGTTTTTAACACCAACCAAAACACATAGCACTTTTTAAAAGATTAACATAAAATAGTTTTGGCATTCTGACAGCAGGATACATTTAGTTAACTTTCAGAATTGCACATAAATTATTTCTTAAAACGTCAATACTGTGAGGCTAACCTGCTGAAAAAGCTGGATCTGTTTCATCTCCAAATCCCATTGAGCCATCTGACAGCCATAATTCTCTCTTTCGCATCAAATGGAAGTCTGTGTTCAGACTGAATTTGGTTGGCACTGGATCACTGACTTGCTGGAATCTGATTGGTAGGTCAAAGGTTAAGGGGTCACGAGGGTTACAGGTTATTGGTAATGAGTACTCCTGATCCATTGGTGTGGTACAGGGTATAAGCTTTATTGTGTACATTCCAGAATAATCTCTAACCTAAAATTGAAAATGAGAATTTGGACTATGGAACTATCAGAACAAGTTAGAACAGGCAACGCCATGCAGTGTGCATTTTTGACATTGTGACTGGTTTACTCTGATTTCCAACTGTCGTACAATTTACTTCACCTTGTGAGCCACAAGAAGAATCTTCTGTACCAGCTTCTCCTGGGAAAAATCAGTTAAAAAATCCAAACATATCATCTTGAACTATGCAAAAATCAGGTGTACGTCTTGTGGCCATTTTGAACTGGGACAAATGGAAAAATTTTGAGATATATTGGATACATCTTCATTGTGTCATTTGTGGTTCATAATATATTAGAATACTTACAGCAAAGTCAGATTCAAATTCCCACAGTTGTTCAGAATTCTCATAGGTTGGTTCAGATCTGATTAACTTCAAGGTGAAGGTCAGTTCAGGTCTATCAGTTGACATTACCATGGATTCCATTTCACTTCCTGTTAATGAAATAAAAAAAATCAGACAAAGGAAATAGGCTTTCTCCTGGACAACGCGTCCAAAAGAGCAATTTGGAAGCTTTTTTATTAAATAGCCCAATCAACAACTGTCAACATTTTTGATTTTTGACTCAAAAGAATTTTGCAATCGATAAAAAAAGGTCACAATACAATTAAACGTTTTTACACTTTTTACAATCTGCTACTTTATGTACCACACAATTCTGTGGCCTGTTGTCCAGTATCTAGTGTTGGAAGATTAATTCTCAAACATACCTGGATGATCTCTGACAAATTGACCTCTAAATCTAGCTTCAGTTCTGAATGCAACAGTTAATCTATCATTGTCTCCTATTCTCATACTAGTAGGAAATAAATAACCTGAAATATAATAAAATGTATTAATTTTGATACAATATAGATATTAGCTGCCAATCTTGTCCAAATAACATTTGTATTGAGATTAAAGGAGAGACTACAAAGGCACTATTTTCCATACTTTTATAAAATATTTCGTTTTAACGAATAACTTATTTCATTTAAACGAATTACGAAATACATTTTTTATTTCATTTAAACGAAATACAATCAAGTATTTCATTTAAACGAAATTAGTATTTCGTTTTAACGAAATAAGTATTTAGTTATTCGATAAACGAAATAATTAATTTGTTTAAACAAAATGAGTTATACAATTAAACGAAATGATTAAACGAAAAAATTATTTCGTTTAAACGATTTAATTATTTCATTAAAATGAAATATTTTATAAAAGTATGGAAAATTGCGCCTTAGGGGCTCCATAAGAGCAGTGGCGGAGCCAGGTTTACGTCCCAGGGGGGGGGGGGGGGGGGAAAAATC